CAATCTGTTAGATGAAGAAATTGAAGGTGTATGATATAATGGATTATATAGGATAAATGCATTCACTATTATACTTCGTATAATATTTGGTCAATACATATGACATATATATATTACATCATATTGTTGTAATATTATAAGCATCCCACCTACGGTTAAGAATGTAATAATTTATGATTTTCATACACTCAGTTTATTACAGATATCTAGAGTACGTCGTAAAATAGTAACATATATGAATTGCATAAAGCTCGGTTTTTTTTCAATATATTTGAGATCTGCAAATGAAGTTTCAATGAGATCATGTAACTGCCATGACTAAAGATGTATTTTAATTTTGAATGGGTGATGTACTAAGTTAAAATGGGAAATTACAAATAAATACACAATATGCGACGTCTGACTTTATTAACATTTTTGTCATGATATGCGACGTCTTGATGTGGATTTCGTTCGTTCGAATAAATAACAATTCGCTAATTGGCTTTTACTTGATTAAGATGATTCATCAAAACAATGTTACCGAGTGTTTCGTAAATAAGAGGAAATCGTTGTTGTTATAATGTATTTATTTTAACTTTGGAAAAAAAGAAGAGTCGTGGGCAGTAGCTAATGTGACTATTGTGTACGTTGAATGTACATTCAATATTTGAAGCGCATTTGACATGCGTATAATTAATGTTTAAGAACTCGTTCGATTTTCATTTCGAGTAGTAGGCTATAATAGGTTTCTTTATTTGTGTTGCAAATAGAAGTATGAAATCCTAATCGAACGAGTTTCGAAATCTTGTTTCTTCGGTCGCGTTCATGGCTCGAAATTCAAGAAAATAAACTATTGATAAGTCGTTTGTTACGCAATAAAGGATCGTTCGATGCGAATAGTTTCATATAATTAGATGATTTCAATACGCTGCTTCGTATATGAATTTATGTATGAATAAATAGCGTGCCATTGGTCTCGACAGAGTTGTGTAAGTAATAGTCGTTCTTCCTAATACGGTTCGAGACCTGTGTTTGAATTGTCATAAATTTAATTCATCAATGAGATAAATAAGGAAAAAAATTACCGGGGACGTGGTACGTATATTTCTATCGATCTAGTGAGTTCAAGAGAGGTAAGGGTTTACAATCCTCTCGAGCTACTATCAATAGTTTATTTTCTTAATTATGAACACACTTGTTCCACGATTAATGGCATAATAGGTTTAGAATAAATGTGTTTCATAATAACACAGAAATATTTTTAAGAAATGAAGCGTGTCATTAAAAATAATATAAAACAAGTGCAATATGAAAGTACAAAATTTAACCTTTCATTTGAACTTTGTATATTTTACAAAAAAAAAAGAAAAGAAAGAAACGGATATATGGACGACTTCTCCGGTACTCTAAATTCTAGTTATAAGAATTTTGAAAATGTTTTACCATTAGAATCTCAAGAACCTGTAAGACCATGATCCTGATAACGTACTTATATAGCGTTGAATTTTTGGATATTCTCTAATGATAACGATAAAACGATGGAGCGGTTTAGAACGATTTAAAAATAAACAATTTTCTAATCGCTTGAACGTTATCCTGAATTTTGTATGATCGAATATTTATATTCGAACGACGAATTCCATATTATTTATGGATCGATATATATAACAATGGATATTAAGTAGTTCCAGTAGCGATCTGATTGATCTTTGGTATAATTGTAGAGTAAATGTACATACATATAATTATTTTCCAAAAAAATACTCATTGTTAAATGTATATGACGGAAACTGTTATAGATAAGGCTATTATCGTCATTTATATTAATTGAGATAATAAACGACATTTCGATTAAATAACATTTTTCCATATTATTGCATTGATAGTGTATATTTAAAGAAAAAAAATGTTATTCGTATATTATACATGTGTGACAATCGTATTTTTTTATTTTTCTTTCTCGCATTGTTTTACTTTCGTTGAATAAATTTGCGGCCCCGTGTCCATAAGTTTCTATCATAGATAAGTAATTAAGTATAATCTTTGTATATATATTACCTAAAATTACATAATTAATTATTTTTAATACATATACTGATTCGTTTCGAGATTCAGAAACTCTGAATTACATGATATTTAATTTAAATATCTTTAAGATTTTCTTTTTTTTAATTGTGATTTTGCATTGTTAGTAGAAGGATATTTTAAACTAAAAACGAAGAGATATTATCGAACTACATACAAGTTAACTCGTGTGATTGTACATTTTATATGATATATCGTACACACACATGCAATCACACGAAATAAGTCTACCTGCATTACATTCGTGTATCGCTAAAGCGCCGTCTACCTGTTGCATTCACCACTATAAGTGCCTGAATTCCAGTTTCATCCAAAATCCTTTAGGAGAACGAAAGACTAATTAGATTTCTGGTTCGAGACTTTACCGTTATACTCTTAGTATATTTATATTCTTCGATGTAAAATATCTTAAATACTTTTACTTAAACTTTACTACTTACACACAGAAGATTTGTACAACATTTATTAGCATGTTTAATATGTGTACTTCTGTTATGCTGTGCCTGGCCTCAGTGAATTTTTGACATTTAACGATTCATGTTTTGGAAGTGTGATTTTAACGCAACATTGAGGGAAAAGAATGGCTTTTTTATGTCCAGTGCGTATACGGCGAGGAAAGAAAAAGAAACGTGAGTAGAAAATCAACGTTCTATGTTTTTACTGAACTTACTGTCGCATATACTTAATCTTTCCGTACCATTACGTATGTTGTGTAATTCATGTTTCTATTATCATCTTTTTAAAAATAAGATCAAGATTTCAAAGTCTCCACAACTTTTATACATTGCAAAAAGTAAGAAATGTTAAACAAAAAGTACTCAATTCGAAATGACAAGGTTTTATTTGTAGGTAAAAACTTTGAAGATATTGTAAAACTACAGTTATATTTTCAGCAAAAAGCTACACATTTATTTTTATCTTATAGCAGAAAGTATTATAACAGTTCTTTTCGCTGTGAAAGATCTTGAAAGTTACCTCTTTTAAAATCTTTGTTTAAAAATGAGACGTATTTCATAGGAAAAAGAATAAAAATAGTACAAATTGTGTAATTTAAATAATTTTCTGCAATATAGCTGGAGTACATAATTTTAATTTGGAAAAAGATTGTGTTGGAGGAGGTGGTACAGGTTTGGGTTTAGGAACCAAAGTACCATTGCCGCCTGGTCGTATAACAGGAAGTGCTAGTATTGAAACTTTAGTTAGAGTAGGTATTGAAAAAGAAAATGGACTTTCACCAGATAGTAAAATGGTCATTGTCCATGACTTTACGCCTTGTGTTGACGATGAGCTCCAAGTGAAACGTGGCCAGGTTAGCAGCTTTTTATTCTACATTGCTTAAAAGAAATGTAAATAACTTTTTATATGGTTCCTTTATTACATATTTTTATATTCACTTTATGTTTTATAAAACTATATTTAATTTCATTCTGTTTAATATTATAAATGTAAAATGCATTTTTTGATGGTGTTGTTTTGTTCATTTTCTGCATATTCTAGGTTGTAAATGTTTTGTATAGAGAGAATGATTGGGTGTATGTAATAGCAGCTGATACTCGTATGGAAGGCTTTGTACCACATTCATATTGTGCACCTTACACATCGCAGCTTGCTGAATTAACACTTGCTACTCTTATGAACAATGTGAAAAAGAAACTACCAAGGTCTAATGAGACTGATTGTGATTTTGCTGGTACAGGTCGTTCGCAAACAGTTGATGCACAACAAACTGACACAGGATCTGCATCAGACTGTGAAAGTTATGCTCGTAATGTGACTACTGCTGATACAAATGTTAATAGATCTAATATTACACAATCTCAAAATTCTATTCAAACTATATCTTCTCAGCCCGATGTGCACCCTTTCTTTAAAGTAAATATACAAATATTTTAAATTCATATCTATAACGTAAATACATTGGATGAACAAAAATTTTATAAATATGTCATAGGATCCATCAGCTGGAAGATATATTGTACTTTATACTTTTGTCGCTAGAGATGAAAATGATGTTAGTGTAGAAAGAGGAGAATTTGTAACTGTGCTCAATCGTGATGATCCTGACTGGTTCTGGGTACTTAGACACTGTGATGGCAATGAAGGATTTGTACCATCTGGATTTGTATATCCAGGACATGTTCTTCATTCTTATGCAACAACAACTAGTACAACTACCACTACTACTACTGCAGCTACAACATCTGCAGAAACACATAGCTTAGGTAAGTTTAATTTCTAATAGATCAAAGTGAGAATTGAATTGAATTTTTGTATTGGAAACATTATACAGGGAAAGGTAATAATATACCAGGGAATGAGTCATTGCAACAAAAAGGTTTACGAGATTTTCGAGATGAAACAAACGGAACAGAATTAGTTGTACTTTATGATTATAAGGCGCAGGCGCCAGATGATTTGTCAGTAAGAAGAGCTGATTGGATTTATGCAGATTTGGGAAATCAAACTGTGGATGGTTGGTTATGGGCATATGCACCTAAGACACGCAAATATGGTTTCATTCCAAAAGCATATGCCCGTCCTCCTGCTATGACAAGCTTATGATACAAACTATAATCTTATGTATCTTGCACTTTTTGCATATATTCAACTAATAAAGTACTTTTATATAATACTGCATTTTAAACAATACTCAGCCACATGGATACATGAGAATTATTTCTATGTAAGTATTTTTACTAACATTATTAGTAAAAATTTTATTAACTTTTTCATTTGTGTTTTTCGATAATATAGTTAATGTACAGTAACATTAACATTGAGTGTAGCACAATCGGATGTAATGTGACAAAGGAGACCTTCGTGCAGGACTATACAATCACCTGTTGACAAAATATCTCGAGGACATTGGGCTGTTCTTAATGAATTCACTGGACCTGTATATGTCAGGGAACGTAAGCCTTCAGTATCAAACTTATCTACAGCCTGTTGTGGAAATAGCATATTTTTTATTATATTCATATTATATATCATGTATATAGATTTAACTATATGTCTAATTGAATATGTTTGATGAATATACCTGAATGCTACAAAGCAGTTTCTCTGTAGTGTTTCCAATATCTAATCCAGCAACCCAGGCAATAATTATGCTATTCTCACAGTGATTAATTTTGTTACATTGATCTGTAGAACGTAATCGAGCAGCTAGTACTGATAATGGCAATCGGTTCCGAAACTTTGGATTAATCTGACTACTGTTAAATAGTCTTGCAACAGGATCTCTTATTATGAAGATATATCGAAGGAATACATACGATATTAAGCTGTATCACATTTTAGAAAAGAATAAGATATACTTACGGGAGTTTATTGGAAACTAAAAGAAGGGCTAGACATCGACTAGAATTTACAGATAAAGCCTTAAAACTAACAATCAGTGTACTTTTAATGCCTGGCTCCACATTCAAAATGGGTACTTCTGGATGATCAAAAATAAAATGATGTGTTAATGCTGAAAAAGCAACATTTATAGCGCAATCGATTCGTGGACATCGGATTGGTCTGCGAGAGCATTCTGCTGTAATTTGTCCATTAAGTTTAGTCTCAGATGTATACAATTCTGGATTTCCTTTTTTGTATAGATTACAATAACTATGTTGTTTTTGTTTACTATCATTGATGTCTCTTTCTTCTCGAATATTGTTTTGATCTTTATCTCGCTCGCCATCAGTACTATCTTCAGAATCGTCGACATTGCGACATCCACATGTACTCTTTTCTGTATTCGTTACTGGTGTCGAATAATTTTGATTTCTAGACTTAACATAAGCTTGTTCAGATTGATGATACCTAACATGACACTCTGGTTGTTGATGCGGAGCTTGCATTTTTCTTGGACAAATATATATGGAATTTAAACTAGTATTGCTCTCTTGAGATAAACTTAGATTCTCATTTTGTAATTGCACTTGACAAAGAATACAACCTGAATCTGTAATATGCAATCATAATCTGAAATTTCTATACCTTGTATTTATAAGTTCTCTTAAGACTTATTTAGTCAATTTAGATTTTATATATATACGTACAAATACGTATATATATATATATTAGGAATCGAATTAATATAATAAAAGACTATATAATTGCAATAGGTTTTGCAAAAGTCTACTTTAACCCACCTGATGGAATAGTAAATTGTTGAATACAGTATTGGCACAGAATGTGCTCTGCAGAACAAGGAATATTTTGATGAAAAGCAGAGTTTATGTTTCCAGCTGCAAGATGACAAATAGCACAAAGTCCAAGTATTGTATTTGGTTGTTCTAAATATTTTCCTTCACAATCTTTCTTTTCATTTCCCTTTTTTTCATCATTAACCATTCTAATTCTACAGTATTTCTCCTCTTGTACTCTTCTTTCATCATTTAATTCTTTCGATTCAGCATGCTAAAAATATTCTATTAAGCTATTATTATATTCGTCAAATTGTTCTTAGAATTTCTTATCTAATCTTAGTTAAGTAACTACATAAATTATAAAATATTTGAATTATTTAAAAGCTATTCAACATTGAATCTTATGTATTTGAAGTACTCTCCCACGTACCTTGTTCGGAAACTGTGTAGGATTGCAGTATAGTTTGTTAACCCGATAATTCTCTTTTTCCATTTTCTTTTTTTCAAGTCCTAAGTCAAGTCTTGTGTCTCTTTAATGATAATCTTTGACAATTGTCTACGTTGCTTTGTCAGAATATATTATTATTGCTGCAAAATGTAGCCATTGTACTCCACCTATCGTTGTTATAGCTTGAACAATTTTAACACAGACTCTAGATATGAATTTAAATATGTGAATACATTGCTTTCAAAAGCTGTATGACAATCAGAGTATCATGCATGTAAAAAGTAAATATCATTGGTAGATATTCTTGTGGGAAGGGAAATTAAGGAAAATACTTTTTTTCGTTTAAAAAGATTTAATACGAAACCATAATGGCATGTTTATAACAATGAAAAATCGTCTCATTAATAAATTGTTATTTAGTATGATTAGAGAAGAAGAAAATCAGAAGTAATTACCAAATATAATATCATATAAATGTCAACTGCTCACAAGTTATTTTTGTCAAGGTTCTTGAACATTCTGCATTCCAATAGTTTTGTCAATAATTTCCAGTATAATATGTATATTTTAAGTTAGAGTTTAAAGTAGATTCTAGGAATGCGTATATAAATAAATCGTTTTCATAATTTCATTAACAAAAATCCTTATATTTTCGGTTTGCTATAATTTATTTAACAATGTTTTTCGTTCATCAACGAGATAAACTTCGATACGTACGATTTTTCAACTACATTTGAGGAACCATTTTGACACATGTATTTTTTGTCACATTCTGATACCTTCAAATATTTGAAAATCCATCAAAAACTGTAGATTAGAATCTTCATATAGTAATGTCACTATTTTTATTTATGCTTTTAGAACTTTATTCATATAGCTTCTCGAACGTAGATCTTAGATTCATTTGTTTTCGTTTTCGTCCATTGACGGAAAGAATAATTTAACAATTTTAAAAAACTTGTATGGCGAGTATTTACTAATGAGTACGAAAGTATTAATTTACAGAACGAGACACACGGTTTGGAAATTGTGATTTTAATGAAATTCCAGATGTACTAAAACGGACTTTCTACATTTTAATTTTTTGAACTTTATAATATATGGTACAAGATGAAGCAGTATTTTAAATATGTGAATTGTTTACATGTATGTATTATTTGTTCTTGTGCAGTAGAAGACAATTTTCGAAAAGAAAAAATTATATTTCAACGTAAAAGTTGACACAAATAAAATTGTTTTACGGAAATAAAAAAATATGTTTAGTACATACATACATTATTAAGCACTACACAGTTTCATTAAAATCAGAATTTTCAAATTGAACAAATTTGTTAGTAACATTGCGACACAATATTCGAGAATTATTCAAGTGTATAAAAAGATTTCAAAACTATTGTAAAACGTTGCAACAAACAAGATCAATCAACTATATTCCCACTTAAACTACAATACGGTAGCATTACATAGAAAATAGATGATAGTACAAATCATTTATCGATAACAATATTTTGGTAATACAATATCGATGTAAGAAGCTTTAAGAATATAATAGGCCTCACCGAAGCGTAATGTCTGATATGCATACATACAGAATATCAGGCAATTGGCAAGATCTAAAGTCAACATAATACATACAAAATTATCAATAGCGAGTTCTTTACTGAAGTAAGTAGTTTCAATAAGACATTACAAGAAACATAGCAAAATATTATTTATGTAATCTTATACGTTTCTCTTTTTTCAGAAAAATGCCACGCATAAATCGTTATAGTATGCGACATTTTCATAAAAGTGTGTAATGTAAATTGCAGAGTTCTTTGTACATAAAAAACTAATAAGAAACAAATTGTAAATTAGCAATACTTTTTTACAAAATGGTTACTAAATAATTAATCTTTTTTATTAGTTTATTTTATGCTATTGATGTAAAATTTATACCTATTTGGCAGGAAACGTTTNCAATTTTTCCAGAATGATCACGTGTTAAGTTTATTATACAGATTATCACATTTCTTTTGTATTTGATTGTAACCTTTTAATTCTTATTAAGAAATTTCGGAATATACATTATTTTCAAAGTTTGTCAAGTTTTCAATACTCAAAGGTCTAATATTAGTTAAATGTAAATTGTCTAGTAACACACGGTTGTGTTTATCATTTAAATTAATCATACTACAACTTTTGCCTTTACCATTTGTTAACAAATGTTGTTTATCAAGCAACAGTAGCAATGGTAGCTCATTTGGTGTTTTTGTTGTTGCCCCTTTAGTAGTCAAATGATTGTTACAATCATTAGTGATTTGTTTTAAGTTTACTGAGGATGAACTGGCACTATGAGATAAAAATTGCAAAGAATTAGATTTAAACCACTTCTTTATCGATACTACTTCTTCCTGTAATTGTAAGTCCATCTTATTGTGTGTATTCAGTTGTGCACTATTTAAGTTTTTTGCAGTATATATATCATGCTTATGAGCGTCAGTATATTTAAAATTTGAAATTTGTTTATTTAATTCAAGATCATCAGTCTTATTATCTAAAATATCACTCATGCTTTGATATTTTCCTACGGAACTGATATCATGATTCAAAGATAAATTAATGTCACTATTGCTTTCCAGTTTGTTATTATTAAAGCCAAATTTGGAGTTTTTATTTGGCACATATTTTGTTGTACTTTCCACACCTCCAGAGGACGTTGACCCTAATCTGATTAGATTCATTTTTATTGGACTATTACTTAACGATTTCGATATACTATCTTTAAAATTAAATTTGCGTTTGTTTAATACCGCAGGGTCAACAGTTGGATCTTTTGCTGTATTTGATCCTTCAGCAGATGATGGTAAAGATATATTGGCCAATGGATTTTTTAAAGCCTGTAGATTCTTTAATAATTTTTGAAACTGATTTAAACTATGTATAGACAGTTCTCTTGTCTGTGAAAAATTACTATTTAATCCTGATGTAAAATTATTTGATTTTGTATTGTCTTCATTATAAAATCGTAATTTCTTACTGTCGGTGTCATCAGGATTTTCGAGAGACANTCAATAAGACATTACAAGAAACATAGCAAAATATTATTTATGTAATCTTATACGTTTCTCTTTTTTCAGAAAAATGCCACGCATAAATCGTTATAGTATGCGACATTTTCATAAAAGTGTGTAATGTAAATTGCAGAGTTCTTTGTACATAAAAAACTAATAAGAAACAAATTGTAAATTAGCAATACTTTTTTACAAAATGGTTACTAAATAATTAATCTTTTTTATTAGTTTATTTTATGCTATTGATGTAAAATTTATACCTATTTGGCAGGAAACGTTT